TAATGAAGAATTAACTCCCCGTTTAATTCCTTCCAAACCAGGTTCTGGTCTAGCCTTTGTTTGTTTCCATTGTTGCCTCAAGGAGGGCTAGCCGTTGCTTCTTTCCTTTGTTGCCTTAAGGAAAGATTAACTCCCCGTTTAATTCCTTCCAAACCAGGTTCTGCCACTAGCATCCACTAGCATGGTGTGACTGGCAAATTAACTTCCCAGATAAGTCTTTTTTAGTAGGTGGCAATGGAAAGAATTAAGCCAGCATGATACAAACAGATACCTGTGGAAGACCTAGTACCTAAAGAATTAAACCCGGAGGAATTAATTTCCAACTCCTCTTTCTACGCCTTTTCTCCAATGAGGCTCATGTGACTTCACAATGAGGCCAATTCTGGAGGCTTGGAGTTTCCAAGCCCTCGGACAATGATGTAGTAGTTATACAGTATATACCGTATATCATACAGTATATATTATTCATACAGTATCATATATATGTTTTTAAGTAATATACAGTATATAATTCGTAATCATATATATGCAATATTATGCAATCGATGCATTCCCCCTCACCCTAAGTGGTTCTCTGTTGCTAACAGAAACGAGGCAGCCTGGTGTGTCATGTGAACCTTCGACGGATCAGTAGAACAACTCTATAGGGCCATCTGAATGAGTTCCTATCTCATGGTGTATAAAATATGAACATATATATATATATGTAGAGACAGAGAGAGACACCTCTCATCTCAGATTCGTTTGTAGAGTTGGTGTAAGAAAAAGCGATCTCCCCACTTGCCGAGCTTGCCAAGTGGGCCGATCATCCGAGCAGTGTTAGTGCATCCCCTTTTTGTAAATCTATCAGCAAGAGTGTCTAACTGAGCCCACATGGCTTTTTGTAGATGTACCCTTGTAGACATGCACCCTTGTATCTGGATGATGTGGGTCTGAAACGCACGGGGGAAACGTGCTCTTGTGGTCGCAATCCCATGCGTTGCAATCCCCAAATTATGCGGGGCACCACCCATGGCCCATGTCAGAAATGCCCCAAGCTGCACAACATGTCCATGGTCTTTCCCCCTTAAAAAAATAACACAAAGAAAAAACTTAAAGGGATAAACGGTGGCGTCATGACCTCCCTGACTGTTTTGGCACATGAAACCACAAGATCATCAATCGGCCACGCCCCCAAAAGCCGATTCGGCATCGGCTTCTCCTTTTGTGTTTCGTCCAGTGACCCATGTGGAGATGGTCGCCGGAACAACTGAGCGAAGCCGGGATTCGCTGGAGACTCGGTGCGGAAGAAGACAAGAGTTTTGCGCATATCCGAGTCTAAGTCGTTGGAAGACAGGCAAATGTGATTTCTTCCAAAAAAATGGAACCAAATATATATATATATATATATTTATTTATTTATTCATTTATCGAACCTATACGTATATCATATATTACCGACTTCTTCTATTTGTGGAACATATACCCTAGGCCCTAGGCATCCAAATACCTTGTCAGAAGGAACGCGGACGCGTATGTGGGGCTCCGTAAGGATCGGTTTACTAAAAATAATCATGGCCACGATTCTTTGATTGATCCGTGCCATGGGTTGGGAACACTTGAGAGACTTTAGGAGCATATATTTCAATGACACGTTTGATCCTGCACAGGGTTGGTGGATAGACTGTCGACTAGTGCATGTCTCAAAGGCGACTAACAACTTCTTCTCCAATGGTCGCAGTGCTCTTCAACGAAGTTCGGCACGTGCGCCTACTTCAACATCATGCAACTCCATGCAACTCCCTTCCACCAGATGGGTGCCCCTCCAAGCAAGGCATAGCAAGGCAAGGAAGGCACTTTCATTGCTGGGAAACCAGTATTCCACGAAAACAACACGGTGGTGGGAAAAACGTCGAGAGGACTGGCTGCAACCCTGCAGCCTGCTTAGGTCCTCGCTATCTGACCGTGACTTGCTTAGCTGAGTGCACTCCCAAACTTCCAAATTGGTTTCATGAGTTGCTTCACGAGTTGTTCTTTCATGTTGTTTCTATGAGGTGTGTTTCTCTCTATTGTGGAAAGGGATGGAAAGGAGACCAGAACGAAAAGGTTCGAACATCGCGAAAAATGTTCCATGTCTCCGGCGACAAAACCGCTCTTTCTCCGCCTGGCACTGGCAGGGAGCTTCGGCCACCTGAGCGAGCTCAAGGAGCTCAAGGAGAGGAGGGTCTTGCGTCGGAGCAAGGAAATCTAAGGAAACGTCTCTGTAGAGGTACGACGGAAGCTCACCTATATAATATGCTTTTCTCTCTTGAGCAACACAGACTGCGACTCTAAATGGCAAAACGAGATGTCAACAGCTGATTGACTACAGCATACTATATTTTTGGACTAGTGACTATAGGCCCTCAATTGAAACTCAAAGTATTCCCTTCATTGGACAATTCATCGAGATCAATGCCATCGCCAGGCTCCCAGTGCTGGTCACTCATCGCCCCACCGGAGCCCCGAACCCCCAATGGAGGCACGGCTGCGCGGTGAGGTCACCGGTGGCGCCTGTGCGCACAGCGGCCGGTCACCGCGTTCAGGTCACCGGTGACGCGTCGACGTTGGGCCTTGCTGGACTAAGCCGCCGTCGCGTCCGATCGCTCCGTTCGTCGTAATGCCCAGAGCTACGTTCGTAGCGTCCTTGCTCCTAGAGCGATGCCAGGAGCCCCTACAGTAGTAGCTTCATGTAGCTTCTTCTTCCTAGTAGCGTCCTTGTGTTCCTATAGTAGTACAGCCAGGAGCCCCTACCGTCGTCGCGTCCGATCGCTCCGTTCGTCGCGAAAGTGGCGAAGAACTTGGAGTCGGCCGAGGTGTGGTCATCTATCTCCAACGCTGTCGTTCCTACGCTCCCGGCACTCGTGGTTTACTCCGATCCGATTCTTCACAGGACATGTTGCGGCACTCGTGTGTTCCTCAGACCTGCTTGGGAGGTGTCCTATGCGGGTCTCAGAACAAGCATCCGTCTCGGGCAATAGCTTTTAGTGGAACAGATCCTGTTTGTACAAAGAGCCAATGGCCTTTCACAAGACCTTCGAAAAAAATGTTGAGCCACCCAACCAGCAAAACTTCAGATTAAACCTCTCCTTTGAGCCACCCCCCAAAAGAAACATCAAGAAACACTGACTGCTCTTACAGGCGCTTGGAGTGTTTTTCGACCTTTTGGGGCCCAAACAACTCTTTGGGGTTCTGGTATGGAGGCGAGCGGGAGCTGTGGTTAAGGAGTGCGATAGAATGGGACATATATAGGGTCACTACTTCTTGGTTGATTGGGATAGAAGTGGCCGTGAGATCTGGTTTATAGCACATTCAACACTCACTGCTCAGAATGTGAGTAACTTAGAAGACACAGCCTGAAATTACGGCATTCCTGTCTTGTCTTGGATCTCCACCTATGCTTCACTCCATGACTCTATGCCAAACTTCATGACCCATGCTGCCCATGCTCTCATCTCTGCCGAGCACCATGTGAGCTTCCCTCCGAGCACCATGCGGCTCCCACCCTCGCGGAAAAAGTTCCGCTCGCGTTCGTTCGAGGCGGGGCTACCGGGGGTGTGCCATTCGCCCCGCCTTTGGAAGCTCTGGGGGACGGTCAGGGTCGTAGCCAATCTCCAGGAAGGAGGATAAGACATTTTGGCACCTCAACACCGACGTGATACGGTGCGAAAAAGACTGCTCGTCATTCACGCCAGGCTGCGTTTTCACGAAAACTTCACGAAAACGCCGCGGGGTGTGTGTCTTCTTGCTTTTCGTCGTTGGGTATGGGGCCAAGTCTCAACAACGTGTCCCAGTCTCGATGGTATCGGGGAAGGGAGAGGTTTCCTTTTCGATATGTTGAAAGACCTTTGACAAGGTGTATCTTAGCTGTATTTTGTTTCCAGAATTTTCCCGATGTCAAACAATCGTGAACCTCCCATATCAGAGGGTCGATTGATCCTAGTAGAGGCCAGTAGAGCTCGTGCCGGCACCAAATCGAATCCTTTTCCTCCGGCATCAAGCGCGCTTTGGCCATCCTGGGACCGTTCGGCAGAGACAAGAGTTAGCTGTGGATTCCAGGATTCCACCTGCCCAGGCCCCACACCCTCACAGCAGTCAGGTGGAGTTGTAACCTTGATTCACCTCATGCGCCGGAGGCCATGTCACGCCATGTTAAACGCCATAGGTTTGGACCTTGGGCTTACGCCATTTGCATGCCAAAGTACTTAGAAAAGGCCCATCGGACGGGGAAGAACATGGAGATGTACCGTCATCGCCCACCCTTCGCCCACCCACGCTTCGGCTCCTGATTTCTTCAGCCCAATCTTCATGAAGAACGACCCCCGGCGGGAAGCAGCGGTTAATCTCGCCTCGAGTCCAAGAAGCAGTGGCAGTCAATCATCCCGGGAAAAAGAATCGCAAGTATCAAAGGAGCAAACATCCTCAAACTGGTGCTGGATGCACAAGAAGGGGCATCCCTTGCAGTGGGTCCGGAAGGTCTCTTTGATGCCTCCAATGATCTTGGCCAAACTGTTTCACGGGAAAAGAAACGGCAAACTGAATCTTGAAGGCAGCTGTGTGGCGGCTTCTACCTCTCACATCCCCATGTCACCCCATGTCTGCCAGGTGGCTCATGGCTTCACACCAGGTCTCAAAGAGTTGCAACAAGTCTTCTTCGCACAACAGCAGCTCCTGCGCAGCAGCGAAGATGTGTCGGCGCGCCAACCCACCGAGAAACGGCGGGCAAAGTGCAGAAGAAAATGGATTTGTGTGTGTGTGTGTCTGTTTCTGTGTCGACGGGGTTGGCGAGTGATCTAGTCGAAGACTTAGATCATGGTGAATCCTCCAAGTATGGTCTGGTCGACGACCTCAGGTTTCAGCAAACGTCACGAAGCACTGCATGTAACACCTCCCCATGCAACGATCAACAACGGCTGTCCTCACTGTCCTCTCCAATGCCATTCTCCGCTGTGCCAACTTGCTCAACGTTTGTTGCTCGCCCAGGCGGCCATGGGCGCAAGTGCTCAGGTGCAATGGGGCGCCAGGCGCCTAGTGCTCCCGTGTGGGTCATCGATACATCGTTTCCGCGTAGCAAAAAAATAACGAATACGGCTAGGCTTTATGCGGCAGGTGATTAATGTGGTTGCACTTGTGGTTGCATCTTGTGCAAATAAGTGCGTACAGGCGTAAAAGGTTAGTCAGGACATGGAGATTCTGCTCGTGCATAGTGCGGGCTGTCTTCGACATGACTTTCAGCTGATGCAGGTGGACGAGATCCAACCTTGGACTCAGCACCAATCGTCAATGAAAGAGAGACGACAGGCCGTCAGATGGTCAAACCAATAAGGATCGATGCTTCCAAAACAGCTGTATTGGCATCTAAAGAGAGTGAACGTCCGAGCGACCAAACAGGGCGACCGAGACCCCCTGAACAAAAGAAAACTGTCAAAGCAAAATGCTCAAGGAAAAAACAACGAATGTCTCAACGAGCATAGAATACACCAGAAATGGCCCAAACTCAGAACACAAGCTGGGACGCTGACACAAGTCAAGAAGCCAACAAAAACATGTCACAAGATCATCAACAAATCAAAAGCAAAACATGCCCCACCGCAAGGCAGACGCTCAAAAAATACGACCAAAAAAATATGATACGACTATATATACTATATATACGACTTAATTCAACAACCCAGTACTTCCCAGCAGAGATCAGCAAAGCATTTCTACAAAAACAACTTCACATCCGAGCTCTTCTACCAGATCAATGGAGACCCAAACAGGAGCTAAGCGCCAGCCAAAGAACAAGCCTGTGGCATCCTTCAGACAAAGAACATAAGACAGCGGCTTGTGATTGGAATGGGGTGAGCACTGTGAAGTCCACGATAGAGATCAAGAACTTGAGAAATTGATAGAGGTGAATGAGATCAAATGGGTTCCTATATGACAAGGTGAAGGAGCTCGAGAATGACTTCAAAAAGATGCGTGACAAGCGGGAAGAAGTTCAACAAATGAGTTGGAAAGGAAGCCAATACCCCGCGAAGTCTGAGTAAGGGTGGCCAAGTGCACCACGTCACCAGCAACTGCCAGGGCCTGACGCAAGCCAATCAGAGCCAGATCCAGCAGTGGGGCTGGCACAAAACTGGTGCAGCCCCTACCAAAGAGGCCCCTTGAGTGAGCGCGCGTTCCTTCAAAGTGTGGTCGTTGAACTAGGTGTTTGACGGCACCTTTCACCAGTAGCATTTTCAGAGGGTATGATTTGCCTAAATCGAACATCCTGCATCTGGCCACGTTAAAATATGAGCTAACAGTAAAAATATTTAAATTACGTTGAAGTCAAGTTGTGACCCACATGCCTCTGCCGTCTCCTTCAGCGCGTGATGGAAAGAAAGATCCTGCTGGCTTTCTGAATAAACTTCAGCCTTCTTTGGGGCCCCCCCCCCCAAGTCCGAAAACCCAGAGAGGGCCACCGTCGAGGTCCCGCCGTCGGACCGCTTCGGATCGATCGGGGTCGCTGCGTCGCCTGTGATGTCCACTTCTTTGAGTCTCATCTCGCCCAGGCGGCGCGCGATGACCTGGACGGTGGATCGCTCATCGGGACGGTGCGCGATCACGGCAACGCGGGAGGTGGGAGGTGGGATGGAGGATGGAAAGGGAGCTGGAAAAAAGAGAGGGTGATTCGCGAGTGGAGGATTTCAAGAAAGAATTGAGACTTGTAAGAACTTGCTCAAGTGGTATGATTGGAGAGATTGAGATGATGTGCTGACAAACCCTGAACTAAATCACTTGACATCAACCGACCAAGCATGGACTGCAATCAGCCTAGTTCCCAAGCAGACTGATGCCGGGTAGTGCTTCGTGCGCCAAAAAAGACGCTCAGTTGGGAACGCTGGCAAACTCTTTGCTCTTCGTGTCCCATATCCTTCGGTGAAAAAGAACAGCTGAAGATGCTCAGATCCCTGGATGCATCAACGTAGGAGCGATAGTCGACTGTGCTGTGAGTGAACGCACTCTATCTTTGAGGTCCTTTTTTCCGCTCCAACGGGAGGCACCTTTCAAACAGAAGAGGTGAACACGCTGGTGCCCTCCCCCCATCTCCGTCCTCGCGCGCGTCTGCGCCTGCCAGCAGCGCGTCTGCGCAGCGACCGCCTCAGCGACGGACTCACGGGAGCGGCACTCCAAGAGCCTCGGCCCAGCAGAGAGGCACAGAGAGGCACCGCGGGCGCGGGCCCGGTGGCCCAGGGCAAAAACCACAGGATGATCTGAGACGGTACGGGGGTGCACGATCAAATGGATGTTGAACAATTAGTCCTAAGTCTCTGGAGCTGCTGGAGGAAGTAGAAACCATCCTTGGAGGTCAAACATCCTCAAACAGCCAAACACATGAAAACTTCGACAGGCTCGACCTGTCGATCCCCTCAACCCATCTCAACCCGTGGGATCCTCGGCTCAACGCCTTGCCGTGCCCAAGCGGCACTGCGCGGTGGAGCCGCAAGCGCAAAAGGCTTGTCCCAAGGTGCTTGGAGAGTTGAGAGGCGAAGGTCTCCGAACCACCTGAAGCTGTGGGCGAACTGACAGCTGTGGAGGTGCGATGAACTTTGCCCAACGAATGCCCAGAGGCCGAAAGAAAATACTCAATGACCATTATACATACCTATACAACGTTCATGAAGAAACCAGGGTGCTTGTAGCTTGGATTCAGCTATGAGGCTATGAATCAACCAGGGCTAGGCTAGCCGGGCTAGCCGAGAGAGAGAGAGAGACGTCCCCCAAATGGATTGGCTCTCTATTCCTCCTAGGGTTGCCCTTCTTAAGAGCCCCACTTGGGACATGTCAAATCAATGGCAGAAATGATAGACAACAGCAGATTGGGATGCCTGAGAAAGGGAAACTTCGTCATCCTCGTCCACTTCAGATTCCAGGTTCTTCAGCATCACTGCACATGACATGGGCACATATGGCACACCGATTTGATTGGCTTCATTCTTCCATAATTCTTCCATATTTCCCTCGTCTTCCTGGAAACTCTGGTCTGGCCTCCGGGCCCTTCCGTCCGTTCTCAGCCTGCTGTGCAGATGAGGTCCGGCAGCTCCAAGGTCCGCAAGCTGGGCAGCTCCGCCACGAGCTCCCAGAAGCGTCCGAAGACTGGCATCGGTGGAGCGTTTCGCGCAGGGGGCACCGCGGACACTGAGCGTCTCGTGTTGGAGTGAAGAATGGTTGGTGCGGCGCGGCGTGGTCTAGGGCGTTGGGTTGATCTGCAGGTTGCAGCCTGAGGCCTTCAACTTGGCTTTAGTTCGGGAGTTCATTTTGCCAAACAAAGAACTGGCGATTTTTCGGAGTTTTTGGATGATGTCCATGGCTGAGTGAAAGCAAAAGGCAATGGTCTTGGAGAAGGTCAGCTCAAGAAATCTATATCATATCCTATCCCATCCTAAACAGTGACAGCTGGACCGTCCAAATTCGTCGCCCTCCTGCTCCGCCGCTTCTACACCGGTGTCCACAGAACCGAACGCCAATGAAACTCCCTCGCCTGCGCCTCGGTAAGGTACCGAAGGCACTAGCAAGTGCTGGAGGCACAGCTCCTGAGCTGGAAGGCTGGAGGATGTTGGGGGGTGGTCACGCTCTTCATGAAACTTTCTGTTTTCATCTATTGTCCCTTCTTCCAGAAGGGTCGTAGCCTGGGTGGTCTCCGTTTTTAATGCACACATGATGGGACGTTGGAGCCTGTGAAGGTCTGAAATGCCTTAAAACTTGGCTCGTTGACACTAACTTTGAGGTGTTCAATCTTGCCGGCAAAAGTGTAATGACTCATGACTTCCATTGACAAGGCTTCCACCACCTGGGGCAGTGCAAATTCCTTTGTGACATCGACAGGGGAATGGGTATCCTTCAAAGATTTTGACTCAGTTGAGCAGGGAGCATGTTGCCGCCAGGTCTAATTCATGTCCCGAGAAAGCAGGGTCCGGCTGTGGCGGCCGTGGCTCCAAACCATTCCCACAAAGGGGTATAGAGCTCCATACGCACACACGCTCGAGATAATGCATACTGAACTGATCGCCCCAAGCTCCGAAGAAGCCTAAGTGAAAAATTGCCTGGGTAAAACAGGTACAACTTGCAAAGCGCGCCTCGCAGAGAGAATGGGTGCGTTGACAAAGGTGGATAAAGAATTGAAACCAACGGTGGAAAGAATAGAATGCCTGTAGCGAGGCGACTGTCCTAAAAAGAGGCAAGAAGAAGAAGGAATAGAATGCCTGTAGCCAACAGGCCGTCCTAAAAAAGAAGGCGAAAAGCAAAAAGAAGACATCAAAGTCAAAGCCAAGAAAAAACAGTCATAGAGAAACATGGACTGATCACGCAAAGCCGTAACGTTACAAAAATATAGTAGGACGATCGCGCTAGCTAGACTCGCAAAAAAAGACTGAGCACCGAGCGTCTTCGCTCCGCGCAGCAGATGTCGGCCTCGGGGATGATGTCGATGATCGACAACTCAACCCCCTTGTCATCGCACATCATTGCACCAAGCCTGCGCGGGAAAGCGAGCATCGAAAGAAGATCCAAAAAGAACAGAAACACAATGATAGAAAGTTAGCCTTCGGTCGAATGTATGCGCGCGCTTCGTCTTTAAAACCCCGTGCCTCCAGCTGCCGAATGCGCCAGTCCAAATCGTCCTCACCCTCGGTGGAATACAAGTCATTAGGACACATGCGCTATAAACACGAAGCCATTCAAACGAATTTCATATTGCCGTTGGTATACAAGCAGCCTACAACGAGGACGATCCTGTCGCCACGACGCAGGGATTTCGACATAGGCCACCAAAATGCCTCCTTCGAGAAGCCTTTCCCCCACGCAGGGTGCACAGGCAACCCGAGGGATGCTTCCGCCATGGCAACGTCATCGCGGTCCTGGAACAAGCGAAGAGTTCAGACATGAAACGACATCAAACACTCAAATGAATGACTATAAAGAAACTTTCATCCCGCTCCTGAGATCGAGGATCGCGAACTGCCACCAAAGACGAGTCGCTGAGAACCATATGTCGGGACTCAGCTCCTGGAGAAAGCGACGTTTCATTTTACCCTAAGTTACCCAAATTAGTAATATCACTAACCATAAAATTTACGTATATAAATTTTGGGTTTTACTAAGGAAAACTTACGTAAAAAATATGTAAATGAATAGTAAATCCAATTAAGGTTATGAGTAAATCCAATTTAGGTTATGAGAAAATTTTTAGGGTATGAGTGAAATTTTTGCGAGCATGACTTTGAAGCAGAAAATGCTTTAATTTATGTGAGTTGGCTTTGTCCAAAGAGGCAGGTTTTCTACAGGTCAACATGTACTTGAGGATATTTGCGCTATGGATTTCTGTTTTTGTTGACTGAGCATGCCAGGAGGTATGGACTTTGCCTTTACTTGAAGGGATTGCATTTACTTGAGCATGTGTACCCTTCTTGACTTGAACAAAACCTTTCTACTTGAGGGTGTCTACTTGAGGGAAGAAATTTACTTGAGGATGTAGACTTTTCTTCACTTTAGGAAGAAGAGCATTCTCTGATTCTCTGATGGTTCCTTATCCTCCTGCAACCCTTCTGCCCAGCCATGAGCTGCTGGTTTCTTCTTTGGCTGTTCGGTCTCTCCACTTGCAGCAGGCCTTTTCAAAGAGTTGGCCTTTGCCTTTGACTCTGGTTTGCCCTTTCCTTTTGCTTTTGCTTTGGGACTCTTTAGGGCTCTTTGCTTTTGGGCTCTTTGCTTTGGCAGCAGGTTTCTTCTTCACAGGTGTACTGGGTGATTTTTGCTCAACCTCTTCCTTCTCTTCAGGTGTGACTTGGCCCATAGGAATTTCTTCGTCTGCCATGCCAACAAGCTACTGCACCTATTCACCTATCTTTCAAATCTTTCAAAGCTCTTTGCGATCAATCTAGCTGCAAACGTAAACAACAACCAATAAGCCAGCTACGCAGTAAACTCTCAACAACTTCATTTTGAACAACATACAACGCTGATCAACTCTTTGTGCAAAAGCATTACATTCTCAGGTAAAGGATAAACCCAAGACTGCTAGGTATGGTTTTGCTGACAGGGTGATGCAGAATATCATAACTGTTCATAAAACCTGCCAAAACCCTGTATGAATTTGTGATGCACTTTTTATGCACTTCTGATGTACTTTTAAAAGTGTATACACTCTTAACAAAAGTGTATACACTTTTGACCAAAAGTGTATATACGTTGAAAAAGTACATCAAAAGTACATCAGAAGTACATCAACAGCGCATCAAGATTTCATCAACGTTTTATCTCAAATTTAGAGTTACACTTCCAAGTTGAATGGCATCCTCATGTAAAGTGTACTTACACAAAGTCTCAACCTGAAGTAAAATACACTCAAGTAAAACCATCCTCAAGTAAAAGCAAACTCACATCCGCAAGTAAAAGAAACCGCAAGTGAAATCACATCCAGGTAAAAGCTTCTCAAGTAAAGTCACACCCTCATGCAAAAGCTGCTCAAACAGCCAACTAGTGACCAAAGGCCTTCAAATGGCACAGGTGCATGTCCAACTGCGTGATTCTTTTGCGACTGAGGAGGCGCCATTGTTTAATATGACCTCGAAGACACATTTCGTATATAGTGAACTTCAGACAGATAGAATATTAAGGTGCATTAGGTAACACATAGAATAATTTTTAGAAGCCAACAGTTAGAATTGTTCAGTTTTTTGAAGCCAGCAGATAGAATATTCAGCATACCTCAGATTCACTGCGCTACCTTTTCCCACCCATGACATGTGTTTCTTCAACTTCTCATCCAAACCTATCCAACCAATATTCTAAGTTTCCCCAAAAAGATATAGAATAATGACCTAATGCCCCGGGGGCATTAGGTAATATTCTAAGTGACTGCAGGCCACTATACACAGCTTTCTTCTTTCAAACTCGATACACCCCTCAGTCACATGGTGCTTCAAAGGAGAGGAAACAATGAGGGCTGCACAGACCTTGATGAAAAGCTGCCTTGCAGGCAACAAGCACTGGGGGGCAACCAAGGTGGCCAGTCTCAAGTACAGGCGCCTGTTGCACCTCAGGAAAAACCATGCTTAAGTTAGAGGAGGTTTTCTGGAAAAGCAGCAGCCCCAAAAAGTAGCAGCCCAAACACTGCGTGGCCACATGTTCTTCCAAATTGGAACTGTGTTTACCTGAGTATGTCTGCTTTTCTGTTTCACCCAAGTCATTTTGCTTGTGCTTGTCCTTCCTGTGTGCTTATGCCTGAATGTGTGTGCTTGTGCTTTTATCCAAGTGTCTCTACTTGTGGCTATATGTTTTACAAATTACTTTCTTCAAAAGATGTGTTTTAGATCCAGTTTTGAATTTCTGCAAATCAAAGAGTAGAGAGAAAATAGGAAAAGCCCTTAGTGAAGACCAACCTAAATTAATTTAGGTTGTACCTAAATCGAATTTACATTTACTAACCCATTTACACTTTTTGCCACCGAAATTCATCAATTTACGTAAATCAATCCAATAAAAATGTAAACTTACTAATTTCGGTGACTTAGGGTAAATGCGTTTAACGCATGATTTACGCAGCCTGAGTCTTCAATCCCTTAACCCCGCAAGCGCGACGCCCCCTTCAGGCTTCAAGTGGCAGCCGTGGATGTAGAACGGCGTTCCTGCAACAAGAATCCAGCAAGCAATGCTCACCAATGGAAGTTTCAAAAACTGTACTGTACTATGCGTTTTCAGCGTGCGTCCATGCCAGTCCTCGAACCTGAGCCGAGTTGAGGATCTTCGCTGCTCTTTGGCAGCGTGCTCGAGCATGAGCATTGATCACCTGAGACGTTTTGCGCTCACAGGTGAACACATGATTGCAAAACTGCTGACAAAACCTCTGACATCAAACGCATCCAAGGTGCCTGGTAGACCGTCATCGTGCACGGCAGCTGAGGCAGGTGTTATATAGGACTCCGCTAGCGCTCGTGAAAGAAAGCTGCGTCGATCGCACGACATCGTTTCTCACCGTTTGAACTCCACTGCGTATCCCCTAAGAACTCTGATGGACCTTCACTGGTGTCCACACGCGATGTCGCGAAGGTCGGTGCACTTCCTTTTCGGGGATCGAGTTTCGCGTTGCCGCGGCCTCTAATAAATCACCAAGCGACCGAGCGGTCCCTGCACCCAACGAAGCTATACACCTGTGCTCGAAGCAGAGCCTGATCAGCTCTGTGTAAGATGTTTTGACTTTCATTCCCCACTTGGTCCCGTTTGTAACTAGAACCATCTTCCAGCCATTGCAGCGGTTCACCATTGGCAGACAAGCGCTCGCCGCTCGATGGTTCGTCGATTTCGACACCTTTGCGACGTACGAGTTTCAGGCTTTGGAAGCTTGGAGGCTTTGAGATGGTCAAGCCGTACATACTGGCGATGATTCGCCGGGATGATCCCTTCTTAACGCCGCGCCGTGAAATAGCTCATCTGGTTTGATTCACTGTTCGGCTGATGAGCCCTGGGAACTTGTTATTGCTGTTGCTGTTGCGATGGTGATTCTATTTGCACCCCCCTGCAAAAGTGAAATTCCAAATCACAGGATTCACACACACGCCTCCCACAAGGGGAGGCACGGAAGAACTAAGACGGATGAGGACATGAAAGGAGGACAAGACAGACCATGTGTATCTGGCTGCAATGAAGGGAATCCAAGTGACCAGGGACAACCGATGAACCCAACCTCCTTATAAAACCTGGGCGACGTCAAACCTGGGCTTCAAGTGCAAGCGCGTGCACGAAGGGCCGGACAGATGTGTGCGCAAGAGAGAAAAGGGATGAGGTGCCAAGACACGAAGACAGAAACACATGAAGCGAAAGAGGAGAAAGAATCTGTGTAAAAGGGTAATAGAAGAAAGGCGAACCAAGTGAAAGGGCCGGAAAACAATGAAGCCAAACCTCATCGAGAAAACCTAGGTAGACCAAACCTAGTTTAGTATGTGTACGCTGTATGTGCACATATGGCTGCGACTGACCCCGTTGGGTCAAAACCATCTGCGACCGCTGCGGTCTACTCGGGCCTTGCCAAAGTGGCTGGCAGCTAACGTCCGCTTCAGACACCTCTTGGCCTGCCCGTGGGCTGCCTGCTCAGTTGCAGTCAGTCAAGTCTTGGCGAAACTATGGCTGCTCTCCGCTGCGGACACCTCCGCTCCCAAGCCGGTGAATATGAACAAACCCCCGTTCGACAGGGCCACAACGGGCACTCTTCGGGCTCACCATGGGCTGGCATGAAGCCAAACACAATCGAAATATTGCGTACTGAAAGGATCACCCCAAGCCCCGAAGAAGCCTAAGTGAAACAATTGCCTGGGTAAAACAGGTAGTATGCAATGCGGTTTGACTGACCATCTCAAAGCCTCCAAACTTCCAAAGCCTGAAACTCGTACATCGCAAAGGTGTCGAAATCGACGAACCATCGAGCGGCGAGCACTTGTCTACCAATGATGCCAATGGTGAACCGCTGCAATGGCTGGAAGATTGTTCTAGTTACGAACGGGACCAACTGGGGAATGAAAGTCAAAACTGTCCACCTTTCGCAGCATTTCTTCCTGAATCTTTGGAACAGATTTCAGGGTTGAAGTGGTAGGTCAACCGATTTTGGCGGCTTAACTTGGTCCTTTATCGGTGAAAACACCTGCCCAAACCGAATTTTGGGCGAAGCCCTCCGGAGTCATTGAGCGTAAAGGCATCGCGCCTGAAGGCTTGAGGGCGATGGGAGGAGATGAACGCCTTGCAAGGCCTCGCCAGGGGAGAGACAGAAGTTCGGAAGTAAAAAAAAATAAACAACATCCATGACAGCTACTGCAAGCGTCCCTGTCACAATTAGTATTATCAACTTTTAAAGCGTCCTTCACAGCTTCACTCGTGCAGTCACAATCCTTGCCGATCGACATGAAGACAAATAAAGCTCACACGTCAAGACATCTTTACATCAAAGTGACCTTGATAATTGGCCTGAGGATGACTGAGGCACTTCATTCCTCTAATTCTCATGCGTGCACATGTCATGTTCAACAAGACAAAGCAACAAAACCAACGACGCCAACACACGCAATCACACGCACACCAACAGCTTGATTGCAATGTTCAGCTTCACCAATTTGACCAGGTTCGCGCACCACCTTGCATGTTTTGAAGATGTCCTTGTTGATGCACACAGGGTGAAACATGGCCTCAACCCCCAGCTCCAAGCGCCGCAAGGACCAAGAGCGAGGATCGAAGGGCAATCGCTCCAAGGCCGCCAGGCTCCTGCAGGGTTCCCAACCTCGTCGACATTGACCGCTGTTTCCCCAAAAATGATTGGGATTCCTGGCACCCAGCAGGACGTTTCTTGCACGTTGCTCATCACAAGACAAACATACGCATCAAACAAGGACAAAGAAGGAAATATGCTATGAATAAAACCGCCAACCATGGGCAGCTGTGCGAAGGTCTTGGTCATGCTATCCCCGAATAGACCCTAGTTCACTCTGCCTTGATACGCCCATTGATGTACTTTTTCCAGGAACACGTACTTACCACGTCCAACCCCGTCACCAACCCATCACACCGCGCATAGATAGGTGATGATAGGTGCCTCTCCTCACACGGATGTTGCGCCAAAGCCACGTCTCCTGCAGCCCCCGGCGCGTGCTTCTCAGAGCTGAGGCCTCTTCAGCTGCGGAAGCGTGGCGGACGCCCGAACCGTCCGCTCGAACTCACCGCTTCAGAGCCCGGTCTGTCGGTCTGGGCGTTAGACCTTTGAACCCGATCCAGTTGGATCCAGTTTTTGCATACAGTTTTTGGTTGCTGTTCTCTTGCCAGGCATTTCGTTGCAAGAAATTGCTGTGCAATCATGCTTCGGCACTTGGCATGGTCTCATACTCTTCTTTGTTGTGCTGCCCGTAATAAAAAAATCTATCTTGAAAAGGGTCACCATCATATCTGTGTGGGAAATGCGGTTATGAATTGTTTCATTAGATCTAAACAGCCATTGTTGTCTAGGTCGACCTAGCCAGTGAGCATACAGTGGCACCATGAATTTTAGAGTCTACAGTAGATTTATATGCGTACGTGTGGGGACACACTTCCTGGTGCTTCACGCATAGGGACTGAGCTGCCCAAGCTGTGCTGCAAAGATAGAACCCCGAAACAGTGCTTCAGGATGCTTCAGGGACTAGAGGTATCTTGCATCAGATATGTCTGGCGGCTTTTGGATGTATGTTCAGCAGATGTTGCAATTCCAGGTAAGGAGATTCCATGAAGTGAGTCTTCTGTAAAGCATCTGTTTGTCATTTGTTTCTTGGACCTCAAACAAGCTAAACCCATGAATCCCCAATGTTGATGGAAAAGTCTTGGACATCATTGCTATCTACTTGGGGATCAATCATCTTGAAAAGAACAATCCCACTCTGCTGGACAACAAAGTAAACTAAAATATCAAACAGCAGTTCCTCTTCCTTGCACCGCGGCCCGGCCTCGTGACAGCTCAAGGCATCCAGAGTCTCGGGCAGCAGCCACACAGTCAGTGCCATGGCTGGGAGTTAGCAACACAACTACCCCACGAGTCCACCAGCCGAGGAGATAATGGGGGGTGAAGTTCGGGACACAAAAGAAACGTCACATAGATTGAGCGTACGTATGTCCGAGTTTGTTGGGCCTACTCCTATTGTAGCAGTGGACCTAAAGAGTGGTTGAGGATTGGAGAGGAAGGCTCAGGGTACTCAGTTGAAACACTATGAAATCTGCGAACGGATGGAAAGTGTGCCCTGGCCCCGTTCTAGCCCTTAGTTCAACATGAAGCTCGCGCGCTAAAGCTCCTTTTTACCTGGTTGGGCACTTGAGCCAAAGTGGTATATGGCATGTACCTATATAGCAACTATACTGGGACCTCATCCCTATTGACACCCCCCACATCCGTGCTTCGACGGGGAAGGGAGATGAGTGGATGTAAAAACCGGAGAACGAATCATGTTCTCAAAAGTGCATTGGAGGTCAACCAGTATGTCCTATAAAACTGAATTAGCAAACGATCTTGCATTCGCTTGAAAGCTGGATCAAACAGGTAATGGAGCTACAAACGGAACACGTGCACCTACCTATGGTATCATGCGATTACCAGCGGCGTGAAACACAATCCTATCTCACTCCCATGATGCCAAAACGGTCATCATGAATTACCCAAGATCCCTCAGTACTTGGAGTACCGGAAGTAGTATGTCGGTATGACCCCGATGCTCAACCATTCGTGAGTTGTCGCATGTAGTCAGCTCCGACAAAGCCAATGTAGTCCTTGATGAGCTCAACGTTCCTTGGGTTTCCCCTTCGGATCTGCTCCTCAAAGAGCTTCAATTTCTGTGCTTGAATATCGGATACCTCTATGCCATAGTAGCGGCATGCAACGAGGATCTCCTTTGTGACATTCTTTCGCTCCGATTTGATGGCGGGGCTAATGTCGATGAATTTGTATGGAGCGGCACCTTCGTCATCTGGTTTCTGGTAGTAACTATATCGGCTCGCTCCAAAGGTCTTCCTTATCAAGCGTCTGATGAAATTTGAGATGAATGCCAGTTTCTCGATGATCTCTTCCTGGGTCTCAGATCTTCGAGCCTTTGGATCACTCATGTTACGCCGAGTGCTGCCGACCTCCTTGAGGTACTTGTGGCTAAGCCCGCAGCGAATTGCAGTGATCATCATCGGATGAATAACGTGGGCGTGGAATTCATAGATCTGCCACGCTTCGGTTGCATACGTGTCGTTGGTCCATTTGCTCATGCTTACGACCTCGGCTCTCTGAAGGCGTCTTGGAAACCCAGTATCCGGATCATTCGGTACTAATGGCCATCTATTGTATGGAGTATCATGCCGCTGTCCATCGTCGAACTTTCGCAGTACGTCTTCACGACTCTCAAAGCAGTTGATGTCGAACGTTGCGTTGGCCAAGCTCTTGATCAACTTCATCAACCTCAGATCAAATTGCTGTGTGACTGCAAAGTTGTGGTCGATGGGGATCGCAGCTTCTTGCGGCAATTCGTCAATTGCGAAGGGGAAAGGCTGTGGAAGTTCATTCCCGTATCCATCTTGAGGGACCTCCCGATATTCGGGTTCGCCTTCGGCTTCATCCGGTCGTTCCTTCAAAATGATAGGAACTTCCTCGCCTTCCTCTCCTTCGGATTCCTCAACGTCAATGACTTCTTCGGCTGTCTCGCGTGCCTTCTTGATGACTTCATCAATGTTTGCACCTGCAGAAGAAGTTGCCTCACCGGAAGAGCTGGCTGGTACATCTCTCGGAGGTGATCGTTGATTGCGGTCCCTCGTCTCCTTGGGTACCACATGCGTGAGCTTCCCATTTGCGATCAAAACCGCTACGCAGTGCGGACATATCGTCAATCGCACATCGACTTCGCCAAGACAGTTAGGACACGGTCTTGAGTCATAGTCTTTCATTGCTCGGCGGTACACGATCTCCTCAAAGATTTCCTGCCACTCGGTGCTATCATATTCTGGGTAGACACCACTCTCCTCGATCATGCCCAGCAGCTTTGAGATTTTGGCGTCGTCCTCAGAGTAGGTATCGTCCTGAACCTCAACCGCTAAACTCTCGAGCTTTTGGTAGCGTGGGGTCATGATCGGGTTTCCGTATTTGGACTCCAGAACAAGGTAGCTTCCAGGGTCGGGTTCTCTATTGAGTAACCTGATCCATTCGATCTCCTCAGGCTGTCCGGGTTCTGCATTGTCGCATTGCAACCATGCCCCTTTAACCTCATCGAAGGGAACGACGTCCTCAACCAATAGAGATCCAGTCGCTGAGATGAGAAGCCCGTACTCCTGCAGCTTCCACACCGGAATGTAGAGAACCACTGGGCGATCACTCAATGCGACCTTGCGACCCAGCCAAGGTTTTCCCTTGTAGCCTTGCTCCCATGCCCATGGCGGAAAACATGTGAAGTGGATAGAATCCCTTCCCGACGAACCGAGACCTCCTGGCACTAGCCCCCGTCGCATGATTGAAGTCAGCGCTCCAAGGTTGGTAGCGTGAAATGCAGTCACCATGGATAGGGCCATGTCGTTGGTCATTCTCGATCCAATGTGGTCGATGTTGATGGTAACGTCATAACCTCCGCCGTCCGATGAGTGTGCTGAGGTTGCTCTTACGGCCACGGGAAAGCACCATCCATCGCTATAGTGAAGTCTTCCTTTGGAGATTCCCATGCCCTTGAGTTCGTCAATCCACTCCTTCTCCATCGGGTCATCAGGATCATTGAGTTCATCAGGGTGAACGCGGACCGCCAACATCTGGAATCTGATCCTCTTGGTTATGCGGAAACACTCATAGTTCTGGTCGAAGTACTTCTCCAAACGCGCCTTCTTGGTCACGATGTCAATGTTGCCATAGTGATAACCGTCTTCCCAAACTGCGTTATCACCTAACAGGTCTTCCCATGACACCCATGCGCCTTCATCGCATTTGATTGGTGTGAGTCTTCCTCCTGTCCTGAACTGGCGTCCAATTCGATGCCTCAACTTCGCTCCCAATCGACGACTCAGGGCCTGGCTCGCTTGGCTGTATTCTGGTACTCGACAGTCTGGAGTCGGATACTTGTGGTTGCCATAATCGGAGTTCTGTGCCGCGAAAGTGACTCCGTTGATCGGTACTAATTCTACCTTCCCGGTCATCGTCATGGGGTCGATCGGCTTGTATCCCTTCTCCCTCCGTGTCGGTAGGGGATAGAAGTGATGACATGCCCTTGGTTTGAGGGAACTGGAGTGCACAAATGCCTTCTCTACAAATTCGTACACGACCCTCATGTCCCTAGGGCCTACTTCCGCAAGCTTTCGCCCATTGTAGGAATGTGTCCCTCCTTCGACTCCATCGGCACTTTCAATCAATGTGAACCCGTCATGGTCAAACATTGTCACGACTCTTGCCTTCAACATTTCTTTTCGCCTAAACTCGCTGTCGACCTTCCTGTCTGGAGTAGGCGATGCTCTCTGCTTCTTCTTCTTAGGCTCCTCGGTTGGATGTCCGGATGGTACATCGTCGGGTGCAACCTCTCCCTTCACTCTCTTCTTCCAATCACTCAACACTGAGGTGACTGTAGGTGAAGATGAAGGGATCTTCTCGCAATTGAGAGTTGTATGTCCCGACTTCATGCAGTGGATGCAGAATTCTGCTTGCCCGATCTTCTTCTCGAATTCATCGATGGCTTGCAGTATTGATGTCTTCGGGTCGGACATGTCAACGTCTTGCTCCTCCTTCTCCTGTTCACATTCAGTTTCCATATCGACACCTTCGGCCTCGGGTTGGTCAGTAGCTTCTGCTCCCTGTTCCGGCTCTTTCCCAATTTCGAAGAAGTGGTCGATGTCGAATTCAGGAGGCGGCATGGTCCTCATGCGAACGAGAATCAGTGCCACGTTTGCCGCCTCATCAGAGTGCGGGTCCAGTGTTCTGATCATCGATCGCTTTCGGTTCTCATACGTTGTCCTGTCGTACAGCGATGCAGTGACGCGCTTGATGGATTCTTCTAATCCCGTCCTCAAAGCCTCAATGTCACCCCATCCCAAGAACAGGTGTTTGAAGAGTTGAGCAATTTCCAACATGCCCAGCAGCGCTTCCACCATATCACCTACCCGTTCCTCCGTGGGATCATCTCCGAACATGGTGCGAAATACATCGGGCTCCAATATGGTCTTGAGGTATTTGGTGTAGCACACATTTCCAAGGTCATAGGATCCCTGGTAGTACTTGGCGCTGCCGATTATCTGCTTTTCCACATGGATGCTGGGTCCTCTCCTCGTTTTGAAGAAGTTCTCCGTCATTGTTGATGACAACCTGATCCCCCCGAAGAACGAGATCTCCTTCTGGAAACCTGGGTTCCCGTTGAAGATGATCATCGCTTCGTGCAAGAACCTCATCATGTCTACGTGCGGGTTCATCTCGGAGATCGTGACGGTGGGAGAAGATACCGTTTGCCCCATGCCGAAGTTGTGAAGCAATCGAGCACATGCATGAAATCGCTTCTGGACGTAGTCTTCTGCGGACATCCCACGGCATCTATTTGCTGCTCCGTTGATGCATTCCGCATAGCAATCGTCCTTCAAATCGGAGTCTATGGGATTGCAGACCAAACAGTAATCGCAACAAATCTCCTCACCCTCCTTGAAGTCATCAATGACGTACCACCTTTGAGTCCTCGAGTATATTGGTTCTGGCTGAAGGACTCCCCAGTACTCATCCATCCATGGCATCTTGTTCTCTCTCCTTACCTTCTCCCTCTTCCTCCTCTCAGACTCATTCTCACCTGAAGGTCCCGCAGTGGACTGATATGCATGGCTTCCTCTTACGGAATCTCCGAACAAGTACTGATACAACCTCTCTTTGTCCTGCAACACGTGTTCCAGGTTGGGATCATGGAGGCTATTCGCTTCGGTCAAGGGATCCGGTGCCATAAAGCAAGAAGCGAGCATCTTTTCTCTGAACAAGTACTTTTCCATGACAGCGTGGACCAAAGAGGTTCCAGACTTCATAGAGTAGGGGTGACCGCCTCCGGCGACCGAAATGGCTCGCCAGAATCTGTCCGACGTCGTGGACATCATGCCATTC